CGGGACGCGGCGCGGGTCGCTGCGGAGACGGCTGGGGGGGCGCATTGTTGACGGGACGCCGCGGGCTCTGCGCATCGGCGGACGCACCGCTGCGAGGCGATCTCACTGTTGTAACCCGCTCGACATGCTCTAAGGTCGTGGGATTTGTGTTTCCGGGAGAACGCCCTCGGCGGCGGGCACGCTGACATGGTTCAGCGTTCCGGCGCTCGGGGCTCCCGGCTGGTTCGCTTCGAGCCTCCACTAATGGGGGACTATTGTCTTGTTCCCCTCCGGGCAACGGAAGGGAGGGATAGTTCGCCGACGTTACGGGTGGCGGGGTACGCGTCGCCCGCGACCCAGATTCCGCCGGCGCTGAAATGGGGGAATTGTTCGCGGGGGGTGTGGCGGAGTGTCTTCTCCCCGCTCTTCTCCCGCGACTCACGGTCCACTCACCACCGCTGTGGACCTCTGGTTCCCCACTATCCCTCGCTGGTGGCGTCGACCTTCGTTGTTGCTGCTGCTGCTGCCGCTGCTGTTGCTGCTCCACCCCGGGGTTGTTCATGGAGTGGAGTCTTCTTCTTCCTCGTCTGGCTTCACGCACCCTCTCCCATTACGAGGGAGAATCCCTCGCTGCAGGGTGCGGGCGACCAGACGGTCCGTTGCACCACCGGCGATGACGGACGTCTCGCTGGCAGGGGGGGACTTGGTGTCCTGCGCCCCCCCAGTGGGAAACCCGTTGTCATAATGGGGCTCCAACACGTCGTTGTTGTCACCGTGGTGGTGGTGACGGTCGCGGGCAGCGACGTCGTCGGTACGTACTGCTGAAGCAGAGCAGGAGACACCGTCACTCGGATGTTGGACGTGATCCTCGGTGCCCCCGCTGCTGGCATCGGGTGAGGTAAAGGTATGTCGAGGGGGGGTAATGTTACCCCCCTGCTTCTGGCCTCCCCCGAACGTGGCGACGCCGCTGCTGCCGGTATCGACGCCACGGGACTGCCGGACGATGTACGGGCCAGCATAGCTGCAGAGCTCTTCTCGGGTGAAACCCTGGCGCTCTGCAGCCCCCGTGACGCCGGCCCTTTGTCTCGCCTCAGAGACAAGGGGAATTTTCGCCTTGTCGCCTCGGAGCTCTTCTCGACCGGGGCGTTTGAGACCGTCCGCCTATCGAGGGATTCCCTCCAATTGTAGCGGGTGGTCTGCCGAGGTGATTTCGTTGCGGACGGCCTCCTGCTGGCGACGCCCCACGCTGATGTCCTCGCTGTCCCCTCCTTTGGGGAGCGGGGGGGCGCACGCACCGGTCTGGCGGCTCCGGAAGTCCTGCTGGGCGCGCCGTGAGCCCGCCGCATTCCTCCGGTCTCCTGAGGTGATGGTGTTGCGGCGGGCGATCTGGATGTTCTTGTAATTCCTCTCTCCCTGGCTGTGTAACTTCCTGCGGAAAATGGTGATGGGGGGAAGGGCGGCGCGCGAGCGACGAGGTGCCGGCTCTCTTGATGATGTTGCTACCCCCACTCGAGGAAGTAGATAAATCCGCGACCGACTCTCTCCTGGCGGCAGCTGTTCTCCTCGTCGACGCCTTTTTCGGGACGGCTTCCTTTGATGGTCCCGGCTGGGGCACCGTCCCCGCAGCCGTCGCTCTCGGCGGCCTCATGATGGTGGCGGCCGCTTCTCCTGCTGTGACGGCTGCGTAAGTGGGGGATGGTCCTGTTGGTAGTGTTGATGTTGTTGGAGAGGGCCCGCTGGGTTGTGTCCTTGAAGCTGGGCGGGCCCTCTTGGTGGCGGTGGCGGTGGCGCGTGCGCCGGGTTGCCGCGGGTTCACGGAGGGATTACGTTTCAAGGGGGGATTTCTTATAGTGGTCGGGGCCGCTGACGACGCGGAAGATGGCGCGGCTCCAGGTTCGCAATCTAATCTATTTTGACCCGCCTCCGCGTCAACCAAGGATTGGGGGTGCAATTTTTCAATATGTAGTTTAACATCTTTCTGCGGGTACCACGTTTTCCCCCTGTACCCGCAGAATCCACATTTATATCCGATACTATCTCCCGGGTGGTCCTTTTTTAGGTGTTTCGCAAGGTGAGGCGGGTCCGCGAATGTTCCCGCGCGCACGGACGGACGTAATTGGTCGCTGCCGTGGCAGCGCGGACAAATTACGCGCGCAGGAAGCGGGATCTCAATCACGATTTCCCTAGGCTCGGCCTCTAGGGACATTTTCGGAGCGCGCTGCACAGTGCCTGTGCGAATTCGCCTTATGGTGTGTTTCGGGGCAGTTCCGCTCTGCGTCGCCTCGGTAGGCGACGACAACGCACCTGTCACACGGAATTAACCGATAACAACAGAGGTAAGTATAAAATAATAATATATAATAAATAAATAAAAAAGAAATAACATAATACTGTGGACAGGTGCGGCCGCAAGATGCAACGCGGATGCGCGGGTGGAGTGGACGTACTAACCCCGAGGTGCCTGCCGGATACGCCTCTGCGCACAAATGTCACCAGCCGCAATCTTTTTGCTAATTATGACGGTATGTGACGGGACAAGTCCCGTCATTTGTATATAACTTGTAAATATTGTATATATTATAGTTTCTTTTCGTTTATTAAATAAGTTTAAGTATAGTATAACACACACGCCTACCATAGTTCTGTCAATCTTCCTATAGAACTCCGGGCGTGTTCCGTTTGACCACAGTACGATTCGACACCGATCGATTCGACACAGATTTATTCGACACCAAATTATTCGACACCGTACGATTCGACAC